CCATCCCAGGTGGCTGCTGGCCCCGCTCCATTAGAGCCAAAAGCAAAACCAACGCCAAACCACAACCCCTAATGCTAAAGAAGCTGTTTCTGTGGGACAGGTTGACCCCCAAAGCTCTGCCTGGGGTGGGGGTCCTGGCCCCTGGCCCTGCAGATTTGGCACCAATGAGCCCATGTGCTGCAGGCAGGGAAAGCTGCTGAGTCCTGGGCCAGCAAAATAGGTCAGTTCTGCCGAGACTCCTTCACCCCCTTCCAGGTTGCCAGTATTCAGGTCACAAACGGTGGGAACTGCGGGCAGCAGAGCTGCGAGAGCACCACGCTCGTTCTTATTTCAGGAGATTTCATTAACAATTCAATTAGTTTATAAATGACAGGCTCAAGGGGGGGAAAAAAATTGCCTGCAGACACCGAGAACGGCTTCCCAAGCACGGCCCAGCGCCGGCTCCCCGGTGAGGTGCTGTGCCCATCCGGCAGAGCTGCTGGATTTATTCACAGCACCAGCAGAGGGGCTGCCAGTGTGACCCCACATCCCAGCCACCCTCCGTGCTGGTGGCAGGGGACTGGTGTCCCCACTGCCCTCCCCGGGGTGGGAGCAGATGCTGATGGGATGGGGGAGAGTATCCCACCCAGCTCCCTTCCCTGGCAGCTGTGGGAAACAGGGAGTCTGGGCAGAGAGCGATGGAGAAGAGCTGCTGGGGGGCTGGGATTAAAAAGAGATTTATTTGGATAATAACAGAGCGGGGAGCAGTTAAACTGGTGGGTAACTGGAACCAGGCCTGCTGCTGGAAAGCCTCAGACCGGCTTTTGCCCCAGTTCTTTTAAGGCAATATGGAACGAGTGCACCCTTGGGTGCTCTCCACCCACAAAAAGCTGGAGAGGGGGTGGCGGTGAGGCAGGGGCCATCCCTGCTCCTCCACGTGCAGTCTCAGGAGCAGGAGCCCCCCAAGTGGTGCCAGCACCCCCAGGACATGTGGGGACCAGCAGCTGTGGCCAAGGGGCCCTGTGAGGTTTTGCACACCCCCAGCACACGTCCCTCTGCCACCGTACAGCCCCAGGGATGCACAGAGCCTAAAAGTGGGAGTAAAGGGCGTTTCTGCAAAGGGGGTTTTCTCCTCTGGGGTGGGCAGCAAAGGAGCCGGCCTGGCTCACCCCGAGGGTGAGCTGATGAGCCTGAGAGCTCCTAAAATCCCCCCGGATCCTGTGAGATGGGCTCATCACAGTGATCTGCTCCTGAGGACTCGTTTGCTTCCAACCAAGCTGCTCCCAGGAGTCTAACGAGGCCCTTGAAGTGAAGGCAGCTCGTGGCTAGTGACAAGTTTTCGACAGGAACGCAACTTTCCAGCCGCAGGAGAAGGGGAAGTCTGGCATTCCCCAGCGAGAGGGGACTGAGCTGATGCTTCCTGGGTAAGAAACTGCAAGTTTCATCTCTATCTGGAGGGACCGCAGGTTTCGTCAGTACAGCCCCTTGCTGCCCACCAAGATTCACTTCTCCAAACCGTGTCCCACATTCCTCCTCCCAGCTCAGCACCAAGCCCAGAGCAGGTTTTGTTTCTCCTCTCTCCAGTTTAGCTCCAAAGCTGAACTCACCCAGACAATGATAGAGAAGAAAGAGAAGGTGATTGCTGCCCGGGCGGCATCTGCTCCTTGCGAAAACCCTCTGCTCATCGTTGTCCGTTGCCACTGGTTTGCTAGGAAGCAGAAAGCTACAAACCACAAGAAGGACAAGAAACCTGGAAGAGAACAGAGTTGGTCAGTGCTGTCCCTGCTCACCACCTCTGCTGCTGCAAGGACCCATGTTTGCTGATGCACAAACACGCTGCCATCAAGATTTTCAAACAGCGACAATGATCTTGGGTGCCTCGGCCTGTGGTGTGGCCCAAAAGGATCTATTTTAAAAGAGGTTGATTTGTAATTGCTGGAAAAACAGGGATGGAAGGAACCATGTGGGATCACCCAGCATGTTGCCTGCCTGAAGTTCAGCTCACCTACATCTCAACTTGATTTCAAAGACCTAAAGGGACAGCACATCCTCTCTGGACATGGAGTCCTCACACTCTGTGGAGTTTCAGCCTGCTCACTACCAACTCAGTTCCAGCACCCCAGCCTGTTGACCCACCGTTCCCTCTGTTCCCTGGACACTGCTGGCTGCACTCCTGGGAGCAGGAGATGTAGGAGATGGCTTTCCAGCTCTTCTGTGATGGGCTATGCCTTGGTCCAAGGACACAGCCAGAGAGCTTAAAAAAAGGCAAGGAACAATCACCTGGGAATAGGGACAGGCTGAGGTTAACCCCTGCTCTGAACACAGGGATCACACACGGGCTGTCTGTGCATCCCACGAGTGCTGCAAGCGAGCAAGTGCTCATTGTGTGCCCTGCCCAGGGCAGGGACAGGGCAGGGACAGGGCAGGGACATGGCAAGGACAGGGCAGGGACAAGGCAAGGACAGGGAAGAGCTGCCCACAGAGCCAAGAGCCACATGGGCTTCACGGGAGAGAGCTCTGCTCACCCCTGCTGCCCTCCACCTCCTGTGCTCCTGTTCTCAGCCTCTCCAGGCCCTGTGGAATTGAGCAAAAACATTCTGGTGATTATTCCTCCCTGGAACCAAAGCTGGCTGAGCAAGATAGGGCTGCAGCTCCCCTAATTCAATCACCAGCCAACAGCACTGCCTGATGCCAAGGAGCTCAGGAAATAGTCAAGAAGCGAGCCACAAGCGTGCAGCAGCGCTGGGAAGAGGAGCTGCACAACCTGGAGCCTTCCATGATGCTGTTTCCAGGGTCTCCAGCTTTTCTGAGCATCCCCCAGCATAAAAGTCCCCTCACCCACTGATTCTGGCTGTCAGTGCACGGGGGGATGCTGAGCTACCCAGCACCCTCCCAAGGATCATCGGGACACCGGGATGAGCAGCCACACTGCCAGTCCCATGGGACAGCCACCCGACAGCACAGTCTGACTGTGGGGAGAGGGAAGAACCTTCCTTTGTTCCCCTTTATCTTGCCAGTTGTGCCTTAGCACGACATAAACCACATCCACACCCAGCGTGAGAGTCACGGGGTCCATCGCACACCTCGCCTTTAACTCAGAATCTGCTCCTAACTGCAGTTGAAGAGAACACACTCCTCATCTCCTTCTCCTGCACAACCAGCCCTGGGGCTTCCCGACCACCGGGTGGTTTTGTCTGCCTGGCTGTACTTGAGCCCTTGAACTGTCCTCACAGCAACACAACGTCCAGCCAGGATCACCCAAGCTTTCCTTTCTCAAATCACAGACTAATACAAGAGCCTCCTTTTGCCACAGACAGCAAAATCCTGCCACCAAAACCACCCCAAATCTCCCCGTATACATTTTCACTTCCCCTTGGGATGACCACTTGTCATCAGTGTTAAACGAGACCTCTGGGGCTTATTCCTCACAGGTCACCCTCAGGGACAGAGACGCTTTCTAGTTCCCCAGCTCTGTTATAATGGGGCTTTACCAGCAGCTGGGCCCTGTCAGGGGAAGCAGATCCAACCCCTCATGTGGACACAGGAAGATTCACACCCGAGATACGGCGTTGGCTGCAGCTTGGATGACCAGTATGAGGTGAGCATGGTGGGTAGGGGTCCCCAGATCTCAGTGCACGAGATGCTGAACCACTTCTCCAGATGCTGCACTGCTGCAGCACTCCCATCTCCAGATACTTGGGGAGAAAATGCCACGGAAACAAGGAGGACTGCACTCCATGCTGGAGAAGCAAGCCTCAGTCAGGAGTCTCTTGCTCAAAACTCCACCTTCCTGGAGACAGTGGTGTCTGGAAGTCAATGCACACGTGATGCATGACAAGTGGCAAAGAGAAATGAGGCAGAGATTGAGAGTGGTAGCATTCCCCACATGCCTGGGAGAGGAGAGAATGGCTGTTCCGAGGTGGAACAGGGAGGGAGGGAGGATCACAGCCCCGCACCGTCACGCAGCATCAGCCAGAAGATGGATGTCATGTTCCCCTTCCATTTGAATTGAGGGTTGCAGGCACTGAGCCCTGGGAAGGGGCGGTAAATATCATCTAACGAGGGCTGGACGCTGGTGCTGTAGCACCATGGAAAGAAGCTTTCCAGCAGGGAGGGAACATCCTTAAAAACAAGCAAGTGCAGGGAGGTGATGATGGATGTTTTCATTTGGGACCAGAGTGCCATCAGCGACACTTGTGCTGGATAAATCACCTTGACTGTGCTAACACAAGAACCTGGAAATGGAGAACATCAGCCAGGCAATCCAGCCAGCAGCCGAGCAGAGGATGGCCTCACAGAATCCCAGAACTGCCTGGATTGGAAAAGCCCTTGAAGCTCATCGAGTCCAACCATGAACCCAACACTGACAAGTCCCCGACTGACCCATGTCCCTCAGCACTGTGTCTACACGACTCTTCAATCCCTCCAGGGATGGGGACTCCACCACTGCCCTGGGCAACCCCTTCCAATGCCTCAGAACCCTTTCAGCAAAGAAATTCTTCCTCACATCCCATCTCAACTGCCCTGGCCACAACTGGAGCCCATTTCCTCTGGTCCTGTCCCTTGGGCCTTGGTTGAACAGACCCACCCCCACCTCTCTCCACCCAGCTCCAGGCATCCTGCCTGGGATGAGCCTCAGGTGAAGGGGCTCAAAACAATGCAGAAGAGCTGGGGCGTGGAAGGCCCAGACCCACCTGCACCCCACAGTCCAGGAGGCAGCTGGGGATTGCAGTGGTGAGCAGAAGCAGGTTTCTGCTTTGTTCCAAAACACACAGACACCAAGTGAAAACAGACCCAGATGTAACTGATGAAATAACATTTGCTTGAGCCAGAAACAGGAGATGTGGGAGGGTAAAACGCTGCGCCTGGTCTCTTGAGACGTGACCACCAAACCTCACTTCTCTGGGTGGCCTCACCAAACCCAGCTCAGAGAACATCTCCAGTTGCAGAAGTGGCACAGACAAGTGGGACACCCCACTGTCCCCAAGCCACCACACACCAGCTTCCTCACTGCTGCCTCTGAGCTCATGGCTGGATGGGACAACCCATCTGCCACCCCTGTTGTCCCCGACTGAGGCACACGAGTCACGCCACACTGTGGGAGGAGAGGGGAGGAGTCAAGAGTGGAGCTGCAGGACACAGCAATGACTTCACACTGCCCATGGAGCATCGTCCTTCACAAGCACAGCAAAGTCAGAGAAGTACCTGAAAAGCCAAGGTCCAGCAGGACGGCCCGTTTGCGGTCCTTCACGCTGCTGATCTGCTGGAAGTAGAGGTCCACCACAAAGAAGAAGATACAGCCAAAGAAGGCAATGATGCCAACGGCGATGCCGTAGCTGCAGGCACTCTCATTCTCGTTGAAGATGCAGAGCAGCTCCGAGCTCTGGCTGTCCCTGTTCACGTAGCACTCGTTCACGATGGAGCCAAACACCACGATGGAGAAGATCTGCAGGAGGAAGGAGAAAACACCACTTGCTGCTGTTTACATTTAACTCTATTTTCCAAAAGCAACAGAATTGGATTCAGTCCTGACTTTGACTCCATGGCAACATGGCATTTGTTAGAACGATCCCGACTCTCGCCTGGTTGATGGCCCTAAGCTGGTGGATGGTACCCAGGTCCTCTTTTAGCTGGGAGCCTGTCTGCCTTTCAGCAGCTTGGTTTGCAGAGTATTTTAAGAGATTGTTATTCTCCAGACAGGCTGAGGAGGGAAAAAAATAAATAGAAGGGCCAGGTCTCTGCAGTCTTTCTGCTCGTGCTGCTCTCTGCTGCCAGGCTGCGCTCGATAAACCCCCTTGTGTCACTGCGGAGCGGGGAGAAATGAAGTGACAGAGGATAATTGAGCTGAGTCCAGGGCAGGACAGGATTCCTGGTGGAGGGGGGACGGGACACTGAGCATGGGGAGGTGGGGAGCAGCTCACCTGGGTGCAGCGGGCAGGGGGAGAGGCTGCCCTGTGAACAACAGGACCATTTTTTACCTGGCTCAGCAGGGGTTGAAGGATGCAGCGCCTGCATCCATTATCCAGTGACCTGTTTTCAGCCTTGTGAGGGACAAAAGGGCAGAAGGGGTTGCTGGTGGTTCTCCAGGTCCCACTGAGGGTGTTCCACATCCCTGCAGGCAGGGAAGGAGCACGGAGCTGGCTGCCTAAATTAATATCATTCACGATGCTGCACGCTGAAGTAAATTCCTTCACCCGTCCGACACCAGAGGCAGCGAGTGGAAGCTGCGGGACCAGCTGCATTATAATTTGCTCTGGATCCTGCTCCCTCAGAGCCTAGAAAGCGCCGTTTGGATTCCAAGGCAGAGAGCAGGGAGGGAGGGAGGAGGGAAGCAAGGCGTGTAGATGCGCCTCCATCAAGCTGTGAACCTCTGATCTCATCCCTCGCTGCCAGCACCGGCTCCCCGTGTCCCTGCACGGCTCCCACCTCGCTGGACACAGCTGGAGGCCGTGAGTGCAGCTGGGGAGATCATAGAATCACAGAATCATAGAATGGTTTGGGTTGGAAGGGACCTTAAAGCTCATCCAGTCCCAACCCCCCTGCCAGCAGCAGGGACACCTTCCACTAGACCAGGTTGCTCAAAGCCTCATCCAGCCTGGCCTTCAACACTTCCAGGGAGGGGGCATCAACAACTTCCTTGGGCAACCTGGGCCAGTGTCTGACCACCCTCACAGTGGTAAGATAAGAGGCTCCTCCAGCTCAGCCCGGTGTGGGGGTGTGTGGGGACAGCCGGGGTCTCGGGGTACGGTGCAGCTTCGGCGCTGGACACCCCGCTACGTCCTCTGCAGGGACATGAAGCGCATGAGAGCAAGACAGGCGACAGACAGAGGCGGCAGCTGAAGAGCCACACCAGAAACTGCAGCCGGTGGCCTTTGCAAAGTCACCTGTGTCTCACCCACCCACAGAGCTGATGCCTGGCCATGGGCCACCTCCTGCAGCCCCGGGCGCAGCCACAGCAGAGCTGGGTGCACCAGAGCAGAGGCCACTATGAGCAAACCACTCAGACGGCTCTAACCAGTCTTTAACTAACACTGGGATAGATACTTTCTCCCAAGCACTGGCCAGATATCTCATTCCTGCCTGCTTTAATGGACTTCATGTCCTCTAAACTCCTTCCAGTGCTGGGGTGAAGCTGCACCAGAAATTCTTCTGTTTGAAGCTACTTACAACTCACAGAATCCCAGAACTGCCTGGATTGGAAAAGCCCTTTAAGATCATCGAGTCCAATCATGAACCCAACACTGACAAGTCCCCAACTAACCCATGTCCCTCAGCACTGTGTCTACACGACTCTTCAATCCCTCCAGGGATGGGGACTCCACCACTGCCCTGGGCAACCCCTTCCAATGCCTCAGAACCCTTGCAGCAAAGAAATTCTTCCTCACATCCCATCTCAACTGCCCTGGCCACAACTGGAGCCCATTTCCTCTGGTCCTGTCCCTTGGGCCTTGGTTGAACAGACCCCCCCCCACCTCTCTCCACCCTCCTCCAAGGGACTTGGACAGAGCCAGAAGGTCTCCCCTCAGCCTCCTTTTCTCCAGGCTCAACACCCCCAGTTCCCTCAGCCACAAGGGAACTCAGCACACTTGTGCTCCAGACCCTTCCCCAGCTCCGTTCCCTTCTCTGGACACGCTCCAACACCTCCATGTCCTTCTTGGAGTGAGGGGCCCAACACTGAACCCAGCACTCAAGGTGCGACCTCACCAGTGCCCAGTCCAGGGGCAAGGCAAGTGTCTCATGAGCAAACACATCTTAGACAGTGTCCAAAAACTCTCCCCCAAGCTTGAGGGGACAACAAAGAAACAGATCTGCAAGTGACTTCTCCCAGAGATTCACCTGTGGGTCCCAACAGCAGCTCTTTGGGGCTCTTACCATCAAAACACCTCGTGTAGGTCCCATCACTGCCCTAGACCCCCACCAGCTCTGCGCTGGCCCCTTCTCTCCATGGCCTCCTTAGCTGAGGGGATCAGCATCTCCACCCTGACAGAGGTGAGCATGCATCCCTGTCTACACGACAGCAGGAGTGGGTTTCTGCCCTGGAAATGCTCCTCAGCCCCAGGAATTAGCCTGTTCTTGAGTGATGCCCTCCAGAAATGTGGGTTTCCAAATGTACATCTGCAAAATTCAGGTGCAGCCTTTGATCTCTCCTGGAGCACTGTCAGGGGACAGAAGTACAGATGTCCCAAGGACCCCTCCACAGCTGGCACAGGAGGATAATCAGACTGTCCTCCTCTCTGAATTTAACCATTACCTGGGGTCCTGTTCCCATCCATCCCTGGTTCAACTCAGCTCTAAGCACCAGCCACGAGCTTGATGGCAACACGAGTCACCCTATTCCTCACTGGTCCTGCACTTACGGAGCGCTCCGCTGTCACACCACGACGAGCACATCATCATCATCATCATCATCATGCAAAGAAGAGGGTTGCATTGTAAGAAAGAAACAGCAACAAACAGTAATAATAATTTCCCAGTGTTTTGGCAGCAGCTGTAATATCAGCAGTTGTAGAAATCAGCTCATAAATAATGCAAAATTGTTATTTACCATCAGAAATAGCAGCAGCATTTATAAAACAGGCCCTGGAAGAAATAATGGGATTCTGGAAAACATGAATAATTGAGAAGCTCTGATTCCACAGGATTATTCCTCTGGCAGGTCAACAAACTCACACTCAGCTTCTCTGATAAATGGTTTACTTTGTCCCCTCAGGATTAACAACCTGGAGTAATTCTGTGTGGTTTTGGGTGCCCGTTTCAGGGGGTGAGGAAGGGATTAAGGATGTCACAGGGTGTCTGCTGCCTGCACGTGGATTTGCACACTTGGGGCTGTCAGCAGAGGATGCCCAATTAGTGCTTTTGGGGTGGAAATGGGAATAAAAAAAGACATTTCACCTCTTTATTTCAAATTCCAGAGAGTTTTGCAAAGCAAAGCATCCTTCTTGCTGCTGGACGACCTGAGCAGCTCACCCTGTGAGACCCCTTGGCTGGGTGCTGCCCACAACATTTCAGTGCAGACAACACAGGACACGAGGCTTCTTCTTGGGAGGCCAAAACAGTGAGGAGTTACAACCACAGGCATTTGATAGATGCGCTCAAAACATCGGTGCTGGTTGAAATACTCCTGTCAAAACACGCTTTGCAGTGAAAACAAGTCTTTCCATGGGTTTTCTATCCCTTCTCTAGTGATTGAAATGTTATAGTTTTTCTTAAAAAAAAAACCAAGAAAAAACCCAACTGGTGCTGGTAAAACATTTTAATGGGAATAGATTTGGTGTTGTCTTTCTAAGTATAGGTGAAAAAAAAATATTTGAGAAAACATGGGTAGATGGGGGAAAGTAAAATCCAGACTTATATTTAAAAAGTTCATGCAAAACAAGTGCTGCTTTCCAACCACCTCTAGAAAATGCACCTGCTCAAACCCACAAATCAGTTCATCAGAGACCTGAAAGCCAAATACAAGGTCAGATTTTCCACCACGACTGAGATTTTATGGGTCTGAGCAAGGATGGGGGGATCCTGCTCTCCAGAGATGCTCGTTTGACTCCCACCTCCTCCTGCCTATCAGGAGATCCCCAAAACCACAGTCCCCGTGACATGGCTGTGACAGGACTCGGGACCAAGCGCCAAGGTCACTGACACACACAGCACAGGGGCATCTGCCACGCGAGCTGCCGCATCCCAAGCCCACCCACCTTCCTAACAGGGCTCCTCCATATCTCACAGGCTTTGCAAAAGAGCTTGAGCATTCCCAGGACACTTCATTCTCCAGCTGAACAACCCAAAACGCAACAAATTTTGTTCTCACTGGGTGGACCAGTACAAGATCCAGTAAGAAAACTGGATTACCTCTGCCACCCCAGTATGAAATCGCATCCCACCTGCCAAAGCTTTCACATAAATGTCCTGGCAGCTCGTGGTCTCCTGGCCAGTAGCCTGGCGTGTGGGTTGCTCAGCCCTTGCCTCTCCACGGTGTCAGAGAGCGGCTGGGAGCCCCGGTACGTGGGTCCAGTAGCTCCAGCAACTCCATCAGCACAGACCATTAGTGCTCCTCACCGCATCCAGCTGTAGGAAGGGATGGGAAGGAGGAAAGCTGTCTTCTCCCATCCTTTCCATTAAGACTTGCACTTCAGCCACACAAAAAAGCTTCTGTGCCTCAGTCACACCCTGGCAGGGAGAACAATGCCGCTCAGGGAGATGCATGAAGTGCCTGGACCCACAATGAGGCAGATCAGCTACTTGTGCAAGTGCAAAGGGAGCTCATCATGTTACACCAAACCAACAAGAAGCCAAGGACCTCTCTTAATGAAATCCAGCTGCCCAGTTCCCCCAGTTTAAAGCTTGCTTCCAAGCAAGAAGGGGCCAGCTCGCCAGGCCAGCAAGCATTCCTGTCACACAGGACAAGGGGACAGGTCTCAGCAGTGACTGGTGACAGGGTCTGGGTACAACGGCTGTGACAGACTCTAGAAAATATCTGGTGCAAAGCTGAAAGCAGAAGGGTTTGAGTAAGACCCTAAAAGCCTTGGAAAGCACCCAAGGGACACTGCTTACCCGAGGCTGGAGGCTGAGTCTGGGCAGGAGCTGGCTGCTCCAAGCTGCCTTTGGTATCCAAAGTGCCAGACCTGGATGCACCATCTCCCCCGCTTTCCTTGCTTGCTGCCCACCGCCCATTTTCCCCCCTCACCCTATTTTAGACAAGACCTCTTGCCTCTTTTGCCCTCTCTGGCAATGGCTCTTAAGTGCAGGGAACTGTGACCGAGTGCCCGGTCCTGGGTGCCCTGGCAGGGGCTGTGCCAGAGGGACAGGGAGGTGACAGCACATAGCAGGCAGATGCCATCAGCACAGACACACGGGCAGCCCTGCAGCAGGAGAACAAGTGAAATCTCATTCTTTCTCCCAAAAAAAAAAGGAAAGGGGGAGCCTGAGAGGGCAGGTTTCGTGCTTGGCGGTGTCCAGACACTCATGTCCCAGCTGTGGGACCCTCAGCCACTGCCAGACCCTCGCAGGAACCCAGGGTGCTGGGGACACCATTTGAAGTGTGCACAAGACCTGCGGGTGCCTTCTCAGCACCAGATTTTGACCATCTGGAAGGAGGTGGCTGGCCAGGCTGCCTGGCTTGGTTCTGTAATTATACTCTGCAGATCTGTGCTCCCTCCTGGGGCTTGAGCCGACTGGACCCCAGGACACGCATTTTTTTTCATCCACGTTGCTTTTAGCCTTCTGGAGCCCAGGCACCTAAAATGTACTTGAGGAGACCTCGTGGTCTGAGCACAGCCATCACAAGGAAAATAAAAAGCAAATAACACAAGAGAGCACAAGCTGAAAGCTTCAGTGTGTGAACTGTCAGCCATTTTAAGGTGAGATGTTTCCACTGCTGATGCACTGTACTTTGATTTGGTACCTAAAATAAACCTTACCAGAAGGTGTGGGGTTGTAGGAGACTGCAAAACCTTGCTTCCATTACACACGCAAGCAACCAGTAATGTCAACATCAAGGAGATTTAAGACATGAAGAAAAAGAAATCACTGCTAATTTGCTCTGCAATCAACAGTGTTGGGCACAAACTGCACATCCAGAGAGCTGGTACCAAGGTCTGGGTGATCTTTCATGAGCATCAGTGAGAATGATGCCACCCTGCTCAGCATCCTCCTCTCCTTGAGCCACCACCCAGCATGTGAAGGATGGGCTAGCAAATGAGAAGGGAAAACAATTAAGGTCAAATCAGCACAGGCCCAATCCTGCCAAGCGCTGAGTGTTCCTAAGTCCCAGTTAAGCCCTTGTCTTGAGTCACCTACTCCACACAGATACTCTGCTAAGGGATGAGTTAGACCCTTGGCAGAAGACCAGCCTCCTTCAACACCCACCAAGCTCAAATGCTGGGGGAATCAGGTCCCGTGTCCTTCTCCAGTTTATCTTGACACTTGTCAGTCATGGGGAAGTTTCCAGCACAGATCTGCATAATTTATTGGAGGGTGTGAAGACTAAAGAAATACTTTAAGCACTGCCAGATCTCCCACAAGGACGATGGATAGGACCACAAAGGAAAGACCTGATGCAGTTCCTGGCATGGAAAGGGGTGGTATGATGCTGGCTCGTCAGCTTGGGAAGGACACATATCGATGGCCACGTGGCTGATTTTTACTGAATCACGTTTTCTAATGTGGTAAGAGATGCTGGCTGAAACACAGCGCCCATTCAAAGTTCCTAATCTAGTAATGCCATCTGAGCACATGGCAAGCCAGCAGCGTTTGGAACCAGTGATGACAGGAAAATGATAATTTAGCAGCATTTTAAGCTCAGATGCAGTGAAATTTCTGTATCATTCTATTACCAAAAAAGTTACATTTTCAGTTCTGCCTTTAATCTACGGCCCACGGAACAAGAGAATTAAGACAGAAATCTGGTGACTCTACTGAAAAGCAGCCAAGACCAGACAAAGTCCAGAGCAGCTGAGATCACACTAATGATTCTCAGCATCGCTGCGGGCTCCTTAAGTGCCAGACCAGTCTTGAGCTCTTCTCTAAGAGCCACAAGTGCTCAAGAGTCAGTGAAACCCCTGAAGGCCACGGGAGCGATTCGGAGCTTGCAGCACCAGAGCTCCCACCTCATATTTCACATTGATGTCTCCTGAGGAGTTCTCAGCCCAGTGCTGGGTATGCCAAGCAGCCACCTCCACCTGTGGCTGCAGGACGCCTGCAGCAGGCAAGGTCTTCTCCAGTGAGGGAGCTTTCCAGGCTCCAACTCCAACCCTTTACAAGAGCTGTGTGTCATAGCCCTGCAAACCCAAACGTACACCCCACAGCACCTCAAACCAGCGCTCCTGCAGCTTCACCCTGGGTGTGAGACTCCTCAGAAGTGCTCTGTCCTGAGGGTGCAGGGTAGTGACAACCCTGGAGCCATATTCTTCTTTGTTTGCTGCTTGGTTCTTCTGCTCCTGAGTTTGTTTTTTTCCTAATAAAAATAAACAACATCTTTTACCATAAGCACAAATAGTGCCATTTCCATCCCTCTGGAGAAATGAAACAAACCTGGACCAGGATGGAAAGGGCACACTCCTACCCTCCAAGAACCACCACCCATTCCTGATACATCAAATCACCACCCAGCACATCTCTTACCGAAGTCACAACTCAGCAAAGTGCATCTGTCGTGCTGAAAGACAATGATCTGCTGTGGATTATGGACTAAGACTCGTATCAGCGCAAAGCCCAGCACATAAAGACTTTGTTGGATCTGAGCTGAAGTAACCTCTGGTCATAAAAGTTCCCTACCTCATATCAAAGGCTACAGGGACTGCCACTTTGCTGCTGTGCCTCTGCCAAGGAATCAGATTTGGCTGTCCTAGTCCAGTCCCCTAACAAAGGTTTTGCTCTTAAAAGCGTTAAGATTATTACAAGGAAAACCCAACCAAAATACTGGGCCCAAGGAGATAAAATACCGCATAGGAAAAGCTCTCTCTGGTGATCCAGCTGATGAACTACACATTTATTCAGCTTTGAGAAACAAGAGAAGAAGGTAGCAGATAGGGTCAGGCAGGTGCTGGTTGCAGGTGAGGTTGTCCAGGTGTGCAGGTCACACAGGCAGCAACAGGGGGGTCATTGGAGCAAGAAACAACCCCTTTACAGAAAACACTGAAGTATTCCTCTAAATTGTAGTAAAACTGGATCTCCTTACATGGACCAGTTAGAACAAGTCCAGAGAAGGGCCACCAGGATGATCCGAGGGCTGGAGCAGCTCTGCTGTGAGGACAGGCTGAGAGAGTTGGGGCTGTTCAGCCTGGAGAAGAGAAGGCTCCAGGGAGATCTTAAAGCTGCCTCCCAGTACCTGAAGGGGCTACAAGAAAGCTGGGGAAGGACTTTTCATAAGGGCAGTTAATGACAAAACAAGGGGAAATGGGTTTAAACTGAAGGAGGGGAGGTTTAGATTAGATATTAGGAAGAAGTTTTTCACTGTGAGGGTGGTCAGACACTGGCACAGGTTGCCCAGAGAAGCTGTGGCTGCTCCTCCCTGGAAGTGTTTGTGGCCAGGCTGGATGAGGCTTTGAGCAACCTGGTCTAGTGGAAGGTGTCCCTGCTGATGGCAGGGGGGTTGG